CTGTAAGAAGATGGATCTACAACATAGTTATGTCCAGTAGAATGTCAAACAACCAAATTATGTGAACGTATTTGAGTTAATGGTGGTTGGATGGTGCATTTCAGCTCTTTAACTTTTGCTTTCAAAGTTTTCTGAAACATTTTCTTGACTTAAATTTAGCATATAGTCCATTTTCTCAGACTTCTACTTAGGAAACATAATTGTCAGGAGAGGCAGACATTTTTTGCCATTGATCAGACAAGCTCGACATATTAATTTCTGTAATGGTTCTACATGAGAACTTTCTTCCAAGGGCAAAAAAAAGTTAAATGGTTCATTTTGTTTAAATGGCACTAGTAGGTGTGTTCTTGAGCTTTATGACCTGCCTTTATCTGAATGCTCTTGACATTTGGCCTTTTAAAGTGTGTGACTAATTTTTATCACCTCCAATTGATCCATTAGCTCATACACTTTAACCCTTAAGGAAATTGTCAGTGGTTCTTCAGGCATGGTTTGTGCTCAGCTATTTAAATTATCGTCTGCCAGCAAAAGGTGGGTAAAGATGTTTTTACTTGTGTGACTGTGCGAGGGCAATGGGTTGTTGTGGAAGACAAAAGTGAATGAAATGCAGAAAGTAATCATTGGCTGCATGTCTGCAACTGATTTAAGGTTTTAGTGTCAACCTGATTCAAGACGACCACCAAAGTCAATTGCAAACTCAAAAATAGCTAGAATACMATCAGYTTTATAGATATTGAGCTAAAATTTATTGCGGCAGTACGTAAGGATCAAAACCTACTTWAAATGCTAAGATTGCACATGATCTTGCAAGGTTGCTCAGTATGTTTAAGGTTAATCAAGGTTAAYCATTTTGAGATTTGAATCCATGCTTTTATCGTAACTCGTTTAAACTACAGCCATGCACCTTRCGTTGGGCCAAGCCTGTCGTTACTGATTCCACTTCAGCTGGTTCAGAATGCTGCTGCTTGCCTGGTGTTAGAAAACAGTCATGTTAGCAGATGTCGGTCATCCCGAAATCAACAGAGAGGCTGAGTGTTTTCAGTCGCTGCCCCTAAACTGTGGTGGGAGATATGCAATCCATGATGGAATACTGAATTTTTAATTGTTTCCCTTTCGCTACCGATTTTTGTGTCCAATAGCACGTCGGGTATCCTTTGTTTTAAGTGTCCAGAGGAAACTTAAACCCAATCTTAATTTTGTGCAACTGCTGAAACACTGATTATCAGTCATCCTAAAGCCAGAGCAGAGCAGGACAGGCATGAATTTGACATTTCTGCATCAATAAAGACACTTYATCCCACATCCTTTGCACTGATTAGGCGACTTCCTTCCACGTGGGCTCGCCCACAGCGATACAGAAATGGGGCAGGATGGGAGGTTTGGGCTTCAAATCAGATGAGGATGAAAACACTGCAACCAAACCAGTTTTATGTCTGCAGCTCCGCGTCAATAAGCGACCAGGATTGGCAGTGGATGGAACGTGTCAAGTTGATATGTGGGGATGTTTGACAAGTGCAGTCAGGCTGATGAAGGCTCAGGCGGGGTGTAACGGATACAGCCTCCAGCAGAGGCAAAGGGCAGTGTTTGGGAAGTGTGGTTGCACAAGTAGGTTTGTAAGGCAAACAATTTAAGCCTTGTTTTGGATCAAGCCAACTGTGGCACAAAGTCCACTCACTTCCATTTCTAGGGTTTAACATACAGTATTGGACATAAAAAAATATAATTGGCTTTTACCAAATTGTAAAAAATGTTTTATCAGATTCCAACATGCTGTTTATTCAACAAAAACAAAGCTATAAAGGAAAGGCTGTGCTACTTTTGCTGTGGCCCAGTTGTACTGGGAAGTGGGACTTTCCCACTTACAAGTTAYGCATTTAAACTGGAACAACCCTCCAGTGGGAATTCCCTGTTGGAAAGTGCGACAGTTCAGAATTCAAGATGGCAGCTACTCACCACAACTCAGCAGTAARTAAAACTCTTACTTTAACTGTATTATTTATTTTCAGTGTTAATAGGAGGATGTGTTAAGACACTGTTTTGATGCAGGGAATACCATGTAGGGCTCAATTATTATTTTAGTAGTTCTCAGCCGTTGCAATGAGAYGATTTTGTGTTTCGTCAAAGTGAAAGACAAAACGTGGAAATTAATTACAACTGACCCTTTTATTGCCATTATAATGCTTCGGTGACCCTCAGTGAAATGAGTTTGACACCCCTGTTCTACGTAAACTAAAAGACCTACTAGAGATACTCAGACAGATGAGACCAAAGTAAGAATGTTTRGTCGTAATGCACAGCATATTGGCATAAACCTAAATTATCAAGCACAGCGGTGGAGGGATGATGGGTTGGGCTTGTTTTGCAGCCAAAAAGCTTGCACACCTTGCAGCATTTAACCAATCATGAACTTTTTAGATTAAAGTGTTGTAGAGTCAAATATGAGGCCATCTACACGGCAGTTGAAGTTTGGACCAAACTTGCTCATGATGCAAAAGGACAATGATTCCAAACACAGCAGAACAGCTCAAAAAGAAAAGATTCAAGTAGTTCGTGAGTTGTTTTTATTTCCCCTCTGTAAATTTCATAAACTTCATGAGCTGGGGTTGGGGGTTTAGTTGGCTTAAAGTATTGACACCTTCTTCCAAACTTCTGTTGTGCACTGATACGTAAAACCCTTGAATGGAAAATGGGTGGACATCTTTTGCTATTGCTGGGTTGCAGATGACGTAGTATCAACGTCATGAAATGCAGATTGGGGCAGGAAGTAAAGGCAGCTCCGTTTCCTTCTTTTGATTCAGCGTCAAAAGGCCTAAATTCTGTGCCATTTACGGTTGTGGCAGTCGCTCTAATCAGGAGAAAAATAAAAGTTTTTTTCATGTTCTGAAAGTAGTGTGACACAAGGGAGTTAATTTTTTAAAAACTTACAGTAAAAAGATGACAAAAGTAGATCAACAGTCTACAGCTAAAAGCATAGAAATAATGAACTTGGTGTTAGCATTAGCAATAACCTTGTTATTGAGGTATAGAAAGTCATCTTTACAGAATTGTGATGAGGCCTGTGTGAATCAGTCAAGGAGTTCTTTGTTCTTAAATTAATGTCTCAGCAATTCCTAATAAGGATGGGAAAATTTGTTCATCCTTAGCTCACTTGTTAAAAACAGTTTTAAGTGGTAAACATGYTTGTGTGTCTAATTTTACATCTCAGGAGCAACTCCTTTACCAYAGAAGRAATTGCATGTATGTTGATTCTGCATTGTTAGCCCATCCTAGCGAGGACGTGGACTACGTGCGTTCCAGTAATCCTGGGAAGTGGTAATTTTCCAGTTCCCATTGGTAGATTTAAACTGGAACACCCCCTCCGGTGGTAATATTCCACTGGTATAGTGGAAGAAATGAAACTGCCCCCAGTTTTGACTTCAAGAAGGTGGCTACTCGCAGCTTTAGAAAGTCATCTYTGTAACTTTTATTATTAATTATCTTTCTTAATTTTTTGTGCATGTTTAATCATTTGCACAAGTAGTGTGTGGTCTGTGCAAAAATACGTGTTAAAATCAATGTTTATTTGCATGACGTACGTAGTAGAGCCCTGTTTTTGTCATTGTTTACATTGTAGCAGTGTTRTAGCTAGGTTAGCGGCAACAATACAATCACCWGTCGGCTAACTGGAATACAGTTTCATWTGGTTTGTTGGGAAATGATGTCATTACTATTTACCAGTTCCGGRAATACGATGTAAATGGAACGCAGCAACATACATCTGGGTKTGGTAGAATGTTATAAAAASGAGTGAACCCAGAAGTTCAAAAAGAGRTTTTCACTTGGCCCGAAGACTCATGATTTGGTACAGGCTGTTAGTTTGAATAAACCYTCACTGTTCRAGATTAACTTATGCCTACAGAGTCATTTCTTTAATCATTCTATCACTGCTRAGATTWTGAAGACCCAGAAGAACGGTCATCATCATCATCATCAAAATACACTTGATTATCAAAGGCTAATTACTTCAAATAGCACAACTCACTACTCACCCGGGCAGAAACAAGTCGACAGCCATTTAAAGCTTCTTGGATCCTAAATGTTTGACCCAACCTGAAACTAAATAATTGTAGCTTTGAGGCTTTTGAAAGCTTTCATCTGGCTCATCGTATAATACGAGCTCTCCAGCACCAGATAGTAGTTTATGTCGATCGCCTTGACACTGGGTAAATCCTCCAGATTATGTAACAAGTCTTTTTTAATTAAGACATCATAAATCAGATCCTAAATGTATGCATATTTCTTTACAATATTTCGTCTGTGCCAGCCCATTTAGGTTGTTAGCGYACTCTCTGTGATCCATTTCTTTGTGTTTCGAACCAGAGCAAATCACTTCCTGTCCCCGGTCTGACATTCACGAATCATCYGGGTCACGTGACTGCAACCCAGCAATAAAMRCATTTTTTTWAAATSAAATTMTGTATGTGCAYAGATTTTGGCTARTCTAATTCAAATGGACACATTTTGTAGTTCCTCATTGCAAAAAMAGGGGAGTTTCTGACCCTGAGATGTCCAACAGCTGACCCTTGGCCTCTTCATCACCCATGAGGAAGTGGTGTGTTTACTCTGTGCTCTGCCACAGTGAATCCAAAACCCTGGCTTCTTTGTAAAAGACTAGTATGCGTAAAGTGTTTATTTTCTGCTCTAGCCTCGTTCGGGTCAGGTCCGACTGGTTTCCAGCTCTGTTTGGAAAGGCCTAGAAAAACAAAGGGCTGCAGCTCAGGGTTTGGTCACTGGGTCGCAGTGAAAGAGTGAGCAAMAACAGACCCGTCACTTCTATCTGTTGGCATTTTTTTCTGTGACGGGAGTATTGCAGCAGCGTAACTCTGGGTAAAAATAAGTTGGACTCTGATCGGTTCTAAAAGGTGAAAGCCCTAACAAAAGCGGAAATGTGACCTGCCAGACACGAGGTGTTCCTTGTTGACTTTTTTTCTCTTCACCCCTCCCCTTTTCACTCTCTTCAGGGCTTCCCAGGTGTGTGGATCGCTGCAGGGCAGAGGAGCCATGTACCAACACCTGGAGAGAAGAAAGCAGTTTAAAAGGTTGTCTCTTAAAAGTGGCCTACCGGTAAGTCAGGCTTGCATGCCATCGGTGTGCTTGAAGGAACGTCATGTCATCTGAACTTGAACTGTACAGATTGTTTTAAAAATGTTTTAATTGCATCATTTCTGGAAGCATGGTGTCCTGGCTCCGACTTGTTCATGTCCCTTGAAGCGACAGATGAGGGAGGTTGTTTTATTTCCTGACTTGACGCAATCTTTTWTTTCCAAGAAAGATCCACTTACCAACACTTAAGTTCAAAAAAAGGAAAGTAAAAAGGAAGTCAAGTGAAAACATGATATGCCCCAAATGGCTTGAGCTTCAGTGATTACGGTRCTAAAATGTAACCGCACACATAAACACAGCCACGTGTGAAGCAGGGGGGAGAAACAACGCCCTCTCCCCCTCCTCTGCCCATGCCTGCGCCAGTGAAATACTTGGTGTCCGCTGGTGATTGACAGCCTTATCTCAATGCTGAGTCGCTCTTGCGGATCGCAGGGGTAGGAAACTTGTTTTGGMTCGGGGTGAGCTGAAGGTGAAACTGCTTGTGAGAGGCWTTTTGGAATGTCAAGTGTGGCCTGTTACTGGCTCCTGTGTTGTGTCTGCATGGGAGTTAAGGGTTGTGTGTCTGTGTGTGTTTGTGTGTTAACCTCCCCTTCTTCAGTGCACAGGAAGCCATAAATCAAGAAGCTTAAAAATAGCATCTTGATTAATCCATTAATACAAACCCATTAATTCACGTGTTTGGCTTTTATCCCTGGGTGTTTTTTTGTTTAGTTTTTAATGGGGTAGCTTGTTGTTTKATTGAAATCAACATAGGTTATCTTTATCAACTTGACCTGGCTAAATGTGCTGACCCATCTTAACCAACAGCTGACAAGGAAACAGAGCCTTAAACAGTAGGTAACCTGGTGACCTGTAACCATAGATTAA